TTTTTCCCCCATGCATTTTTAAGTGAGACTTAAGTGTCCAAATACTTTTTTGGCCACTGTAGCTTTCATTCATACCTCATCTGGATGTATTTTTGTTTAGACTACAAAATGTCTGCTTGCCTCACATGTTCAATGACTAACACGGAGCATATATTCCCATATGGCCATATTTTTTGGCTTATGTTTGTTGGCCATATGGCAAACTCTTCTCTTTGTTCTTGCATATTCTTTTTACCCACCCAACAGAAACGTCTGCAGATTGATGGTGTTGGTCATGTCTTCTCATTGTCCCCTTGGTTCCACAGTGATGATTCTGGGTGTCACAATCCTACGGAAGAAATATCCCATGGCGAAGTATCTGTGTGTGTTTCTAATCATCGCCGGGGTCGCTCTCTTCCTCTACAAACCCAACAAAGGCTCCAGCACATCAGATGAACACAAATCTGGCTTTGGAGAGATGCTACTGGTTGTTCTTTCTTTTAATCTATTACATTCTCTCCCTTATTTACCATTTCCTGTTGTCTGGTTAAAGCAGATCTGATGTGTGTGTGTTTGACTGTAGCTGCTGTCTCTGACTTTGGATGGGCTGACAGGTGTAGCTCAGGACCACATGAGGGCACGGTACCAGACGGGAGCCAATCACATGATGCTGAACATCAACATGTGGTCCACACTGGTCCTAGGAATAAGTGAGTTATAAAAGAGAGATTAAATTATAGGAACACTGGCACTTCATTAGTGAAAATACTGGTTATTAAAGATAAAAGAATAAATGTTTATTATCACTTGAATGTAAGAACAGGACATACTGATTTTATTGACCCTTTGATCTGGGTGATATATTAGAAAATTCACAATAAATATTTTTTTTTCATGACTTCTGCATATGAGATTTACACAGATATTTTTCAGTGTGTCTGATTTTAAATTCAGTATTTAAAAAAAATTAAGTTGAATTTATTTCTGTGAATCTCATTAAATAATGCACTTCAGTGAATCATTTGAAAAGTTCTGACTCAACGATTAATTCATATCATCACTCAAAGTGTTCATGGAAGTCACTGTGTGGCAGTTATGAAAGTGTTTTAGTTATAAATACACTACAGTTGAAAAGTTTTGGGTCGGTAAGATTTAAAAAAAAAAAAAAATTAATAGTTTTATTTAGCAATGATACATTAAATTGATCAAAATGACAGTTAAGATATTTATTATGTTACAAAATATTGATATGTTTCAAATTCTTGAACTTTATATTAACCTTAATAAAAAAAAAAAGCTAAAAACCCTAAAAAAAAAAAAGTATCATAGTTTCCATAAAAATATTAAGCAGCACAACTGTTTTCATTCATTTTCTTATTAATAATTATAATAGGAAATGTTTGCTGCGCACAAAATCAGTATATTAGAATGATTTCTGAAAGATCATGTGACACTGAAGACTGGAGTAATGATGCTGAAAGCTTTGCTATCACAGGAATAAATTGCATATTAAAATAGAAAACCGTTATTTTAAATTGTAATAATATTTCACAATATTACTGTATTTATGATCATATAAAATCAGCCTGGGTGACCATAAGACTTGTTTCAAAAACCTTACTGACTCCAAAATTGTGAACAGTAGTGTGTGAGAGCAAATATTGCTGTTTAGTACCGTTTTGTCATGTTGGTGCATAAAATGAGAAGGACTAAATATCATTTTGGTATTCATGTAGTGAAAATCAGTGTTGAAAACATGCCATGATTATTTTTTAAACTAGATTTTTTCTCGATTTTATGGATTGCCTTAAACATTTATAATCTACTTGGCAAAAATGGATGTTTGGTTGAAATTGCTGCCTCTGTCATTCTTTTAAGCCATTTCAGAGCAA